CAGAAAAGTGGGTGAAGGGAGATGTCAGACAGTGTAAGACATGACAAAATAATAATTTACAAATTATCAAGGGTTCATGAGGGAGCGGGGAGCGGGGAGGGAGGGGAAAGATGAGCAGATTTTAAGGACTCAAGCAGAAAGTAAATGTTTTGAGAACGATGATGGCCACAAATGTACAAATGTGCTTGACCACAACAGATGTATGTATGGATTGTGACAAGAGTTGTACAAGCCCCCACTAAAATGATTTTAAAAACAAACAAGTCATACCTATGCATTGGGTCCCAGAGGCTCTGGAACCTTGGGCCTTGGGGCTTTCTCTGGAGGCTGTGGGGAATACTGGGCGCATCCTTGTACGGGAGAGGGTGTGGCGTGTCACTGGGAAACTGGGAACTCACCCAGGCTGGCCTCTGGTGTCTCTTCACTTGCCTCCTTCCTGGTTATAGTAACAGGGTGATGCATTCAACCCAGGGGAAAGATGAGGCGAGGCTGTCTACTCAAAGGTCTACCATCTCCTCGGTCCTGCCCGAGAGGATCATTATTGGCCTGAGGGCAGCGGGTTGGGTTAGGGTCTGCTAAGTTACAGGTAACAACAGGCTAAGTGAATTCCGCGAGCCGTTAAAAAGAGAAATGACCTAACCCACGGGGACCGTGGGGCTCTTGGCCCAGGGTGGCTGATTCGAGAGATGCTGCAGAGGCAGCGGACTCGTGAGGACCATGCGCAACTGGGGGCAGCAGAGCAAGGCCGTTGCTGACGGGTGGCCCTCATCTGTGACCTAGCCCTGAAGACTAAGTGCAGGAAGAGAGGTGCTGCCCAGGGCGAAGTACAGGGGAGTTGTGTGGACTCCTGTCCCCCGTTGTTCTGGCCTAGGGTGCCCGGCGATGCCATTTGTCCTGACTCTGGGGTGCCGATGACCCGAATCAGAGAGGTGCGGGAGGATGCAGCCTGGGTCCCCTTCAGATGACAGTTGGGCCTCTCTTGATGCTTAGCACCTGGTGAGCAGTCAAGGCGGGGCTTGTCCTACCAGGTGCCCAGTTAGGACAGCGCACTGCCCGCGGCTTAAGGTACCAAGTGACAGGGCTGAGATTTGGATCGCTTTGCCCGATGCCGAATCAAGCCAAGGCCCCATACCTTCCTCTCCGCACTCTTGCTCCCTTCTGACCTGGTCACTTCCTTCTCCCCGCCTAGTGACACTCTGAACATCGTGGCCTCTGACCACCGGCCGTTCACCACGAAGCAGAAAGCCATGGGCAAGGAGGACTTCACCAAGATCCCGCACGGCGTGAGCGGCGTACAGGACCGCATGAGCGTCATCTGGGAGAGAGGCGTGGTATGTTTCCTGGGACCGCCCCCCCAACCCAAGGGGGGTGTTACGCCAGGAATCCTTTCTGACAAAATTCTTAGGTGAGCTGGTTCAGCCACAGCATCTCGCTTCACTCAAAAATAGAACAACACAAAAGAGATCACTTTTTCCTTTTTTATGTTTTTACCCCCCTGGTCAGAAGAGGCCATGGGGTTTATTCTAGAAAACTGGAAAACACAGAAGTTATAAGGGGAAAAGAATCAGCATCGTTTCATGCCCACAATTACCTGTCATCCCGTGGCTATATTTCTCTCTGGTCTTTTTCTATGCTTGTACTAGATCCGAGGGGCTTCTAAAAGTTTGGTGGGGAGGGAATCATATTATCTTCCAGTTTCATGTCCCACTAGCTTTTGCTATCTTCCAGTTTCATGTCCCACTAGCTTTTGTTATCTTCCAGTTTCATGTCCCACTAGCTTTTGGAAGCCCTTTCCTATCACTTCAATAATGGAATTCGTCTTCCCTTTGTCTTATCACCTACCAGTGCATTTGAAGCCGCTCCCTGAATCCATAGTCCTTGTGTGTGTGTGTGGTGGTGGGGGTAACGTGTTGGGCTATTAACCCCAAAGTCAGCAATTCAAATCCACCAGTTGCTCCTCAGGAGAAAGATGAGACTTTATACTCTTGTAAAGAAAGAGAAACCCATGTGGGCGGCATGGGTGTATCTTATACGGTCGTTGTGAGTCAGCATGGACTACCTTGGCAGTGAAAGAGATGTAATATTTCCTTCGATGGAAGCACCATCATTTTGGGGATGATTCCCTGGGGGCTAGAGCCGTTGTCCAACACCTGCTCTTACAAAGGATATGGCAAGAACCTCTCTGTTCAGATGCCTGTACTTCTCTGATCATTTCCTCCGGGAAGACTCCTGGAAGGACATTCTGGGCCCACGGATGTGGACATGTTTGAGGCTCTTGATATATGTTCTTTAATTGCTTTTCAAGAAGTAAATAAAACAGAGATGGGGCTCGGAAGAGTACCTGTTCTGCCTACGAAGAAGAAGGAATAGTGGGCGGGGAGCCCTCCGAGTTAGGTACAGCAAAGAGGATCAGCCCCAGCGAGAGTGGGAGTCCTCGGGGCTGAGCTGCCCACTCAGGGGAGAAGGGGGGGCCAGGAGTCACTGAAGAACCCCCTCAGAGAGTCTCCTGTGCTCTCACAGGTGGGGGGCTCAGGCAACAGAATGCTCCAGGCTCCTGCTTCATCCAGAGGGGCGCTGGGGTGGGGCTGTTCTTACAGAGAGTCGGTGGGC